ACCCCCATCCCCACCACCCTCAGTACACCATTAGTGACCATCCAATCAACTGAGACTCGTGGCAACCCATGTATGCCAGGGTAGAACTACCGCCACAGGGTTTTGTTCAGGGCAGATTGGTCAGAAAGCGATCGCCATGCCTTCCTTTCTCCCCAGGTGACTCTGGGTGGTCTCAGTCCTCCAACCTCTTGGTTAATAATGGAGTATGTGAACAATGGTACCACCCAGGAACCCATATCCCTGCACCCAGTAGTCTCCAAACTTAAGTAACTTGTCACTTTTACAGTCATAACCACATCACACTCATATAATGATTTACTCCATTTTTTCTTCAGATCAACTTTTTATTCATTCAATTTAAATGTTTTTATTTACCGTGACCCCACATCCAGCCTTATTACCTCTAAAATAAAGGGCTTGATATGCAACTTACAATTGTTTTTACTAATATCTGGAAAAACGACTCTTAACATATATACATGTATATGTATATGTAAGGAGCTCTGGTAACGTAGTGGTTACAAATCGGGCTGCAAACCTCAAAGTCAGCAGTTCAAAACTACCAACTGTTCCATGAGAGAAAGATGAGACTTTCTGCTCCTGTAAAGATTTACAGCCTCAGAGACTCTGTGCAGGGTCACTATGAGTAGGAACCAACTCCACCGCGTACAACAACAACATATGTATATTTGTGTGACTCTTAAGTTCATCTGGCATGCCCCAGGGTTATCCTGTAGCATTCTTTTGAGATACACTGCCAAGGGAAAAAGGAGCTCTGGTTGCATCGTGGTTACAAATAGGGCTGCTAAATTCAAAGTCAGCAGTTCGAAACTACCAGCTATTCTGCGGAAGAAAGACATACAGGGTCTCTATGAGTCAGAACTGACTCCACAGCACATAACCACTACCACCACTGCCATGGGAAACACTTGATATTTGTTATACTAATTGAAGCCACGCTTCTTCTCCCCAAATAATAGCAGTAGCCAACTAGAAACTGACCAGTGCTTTAGACTGGAGGGGTCCCAGTATGGAGCATTTCCCTCTTGTATCTTAGCTGATCCTCCCAACCACCCAATGAAGCAGGAAGTATTAGTCCTGTTTTTCAGATAAAGAAATGAGGAGTCACAGAGGTTAAATGACTTGCTCACATTTATGCAGCTAATAAGCGGCAGAGTCTTTCCATTGCGAACTTCGTTCTCACTCCACTAAGGCAGGCTTGCACACTCAGGCTCCCAAAGAATCATGAGCAAGCAGGAAAAAGGATGCCTGGGTCATCCATGTTGCAAACGGAGTAGATCCCAGAGGTTTTAGGATGCCAAACCCAAACCACTGCCAGCAAGGTGATTCCGACTCACAGTGCCCCTCTAGGGCAGAGTATAATTGCCCCACATCTTGTTTCCATGACTGTAAACCTTAACAGAAGCCAAATGCTGTATCTTTCTCCCATAGAGTGGCCGATGCATTGGAACCACCGACCTGGACGTTAGCAGCAAGGCAACGGAACCACTTCATCACTTCCTATTTCGGATGAAGAGAAGAACACAAAACACCTCTGCTCATGGAGGTTCAGCTCAGGCCCTTGCCATCAAAGTCCATAACCTCACCTCATCTGCATCCTGCAAAACCACTCCCTAGAAAATAATGGCTTTTTACACACGGGTCAGGGCAGTGGAGACATCAGACCTGCTGGCCATGTGCAAGTTATGAATCTTTGGTAAGTTCTGGGCCTTTGTTTCTCTAAGATAAAATGGTTATATGAACAGTACCCCTCCCTTAGTATTTCTGAAACAGTCAAATTAGATAACATATTAAAGTCCTTGGCACAGTGCCCACCACATATAATGTTACCTATTAATTATAATATTATCAGCACCATTATGTTAGAAGGGAAATACACAGAAAAGTGCCTCTTACCCTGCCATTTGGTCACTTAAAATAATTCCCTCGGCTGAGAAGTGAATGAACTAAGCCGTGATTACTGCTGATATGCTGCCTAAACACAGGCCTGCCATCATTCAGCGACTCAGTCTCAGCCTCAACCCCAAGCAAAAATTACTTTTAGGAGCTAAATAACCTCTTTGCTAACCGAAATTGCTCACTTGGGAGCCAGAATTCTCTCTGCTTAGGAAAGCTTAGGTTTTGCATGGTTATCTTTATCATGGGGCTGAACTTAAAGTGAGCTCAAACTCACAGTCTACCCATAAGCCAATTTGTTCTGTTTTCTTAAAACTGTCTGCAAACAAAATACGATCGTTTGGTTTTTCCATTGTTGTTCTGAAGCAAAACAGAAATGCTTAGAGATCACCCACATGAGAATGTCACAAGTAGTTTAAAGAAAGTCACAATATTTTTTGTACTCTGGATAAAGCAGGTAGTAGGTTACCAGGCTTAAGGATTTGCTAGAATAAATAATAAACACAAACAGCTATTACGCAATAGAAAACAAAGAAAAAAGCCCATCTGAAACCTTACTACTACAACAAAACAGCTATCTTCAAGAGCTTCTCTTCATTTTTCATATTAAAAGAAGCCTACTGTCAAGCTGATTTCTTAAAGGACTCTGTCAGGACAACATTTCTCAAAGAGGCAGAAGAAAAATGCTTGGTCACATTGCTTAAAATGTACACATAAACCAAAAACTAGTGTGCAAAATGCTACAAGAATGGGTAGAGTCAGACACTGCAATCAGCAAAATCCTCATGTTGGAATCATTTCTGACTGTCCTTCCTGTCTTGGAGAAGGAGATGCCAGGTTCAAAAATTGCTTTTCCGGGCCCACTAAGCACCAAGCCTCCTGGCATTTCGGCTTTCCTGCATCCACACCCGTCCTCATTAATGCCCAAGCAGAGCTGAATCTTTTCCATGTCTTGATCATTTTTGTAACCTGCTACATTTGACTCCATGTTCACACACAGACATAATGCACACCCACACACATTATTCAAGTCTCATAAAATCAGTCATATTTTAGGTGGGTAGTCAAGTACTTTAGCCCAAGTTTCCTAAACACACAAACTTCAGAAATCACTAAACAAGGATTCGATTATGGGAAACTCAATATACACCCCTAGCTTCAGGAACACACAATAAGATAGGATTGTGCCGATGGTTAAAAGAGCAAAATGAAAACAGGGTGGTATCCAAATAGCACCAAAGAAATACAAAACACAGTCAAGAGACCCAGGTTCCAGTGCTAGTTAGTTCCTCTCTATTAGCCAGGCAGCCTTAGCATAGTGGTTATGAATCAGGCTGCTAACCTCAAGATCGACTATTCAAAACTACCAGCTGTTCCACTGGAAAAAGATGAGGCTTTCTGCTCCCATAAAGATTTGCAGCCTCAGAAGGTCACTATGCGTCAGAACTGACGCTACAGTATTTAACAACAACAACAACAACTTGAGCCCTCATGGTCCTTTCTGGATCTCAAATACTGTCATCTAAAGAAATAAGGGGTTTGAACTATCTTGAACGTCCAACTCAAAAATGCTGACTCTCTGAAACAGCCAATATCGAAAAGAACGACCAACTGAATTTTGAAGACACTTCTTCAGAGAGCCTTTTAGATTTCTATTTTGTAATATATCCAAAACTGAGAAATGTAAGAGGATCTTCTTGAGTTTCTAAAGAACAAATTCTAGAGGAAGGAAATATCTGAGCATGGTACAAGTGCAGAGTAGCAATATGTTGATGTAATATAAGGAAGAGTTAGGCAAGAAATAAATTTACCCAAGAAACTTTTTGCTGATTCTAAGCACAGCAAGCAATCACTAAGTGGAGGGTGGGTTGGAGAGATAGGAAAAGAAAGGGGAAGCAAAAATAGCTATCTATTGTTGTTGTTAGTGTCCTAGAGTTAGTTAGGACTCATAATGACCTTCTATAGGGTTTCTGAGGAGCGGCTTGTTGGTTTCAGCCACAAAGTTGGCAGTTCAAACCCACCGGCTATTCCTCAGAAACCCTATACAGGGTCACTATGAGTAGGAACCGTACTTCACAACATGTATATATAAACACACAATGGAGCTCCAAAAAGTTCACGGAAAAATAGATTTAAAAGATAATGGAATTCTTCCATGAACAATTTGAAGCTCCCTCATGTATACACAACACATACACACACACACACTAAATTAAACTAAAAATAAATGAAGCTCAAATATTTCATTCAGGTAAACTTTGGGACAAAAGATCTTCAATTGAGGTCATACTCTCTTTCTCTCTCTCTCTCTGGTCTCATAAACTGTAATCTACCAAGTTCCTTAGAGGGACGGGAGAAGATATAATGATACTCCCATTTGGACACTCTTTCATGATCACAAAGTTTCTTCAGACATTTACCGGTGGAAGCTGCCCAAACAACTTTATCAGGCAGGTGGTATTACACCCATTCTACAGATCCTGTTAACTGAGAGGGCAGAAGACTGAAAGACCAGGCCTCCTCTAGTATTCTCCCCAGAAGGTCCACCGCCTTCCAGGCCCTGGGGGAGACACCTCTGAGCCTGCTGGGAAAGCTGGGACCCTTTGAGGGTTACCGCAGCCCCCAGGCTCCAGCTCCCTTCTGGTCCAGCCTGCTAGGCTGCTTTGCTTCCCCGTGGCTAGTGGTTGTGTTCTCAGACAGACAATCCTGTATTTGTGCTTGCAAAGTTTTCCCTGAATCCAGGTTCCAACCCTGGCCAACAACTCACTTCCTGGGTTTCACACATCATCTCCTCAGAACCGGTGTCTCTCAAACAACGAGATTTTCATTAGCAGAGCGGGCAGCAGGCCCATCACGGGACCACTTTCCCTGAGGTCAGCCACCCTTACAGGCTCCCCAAAGTCTGAGAGGGCAGACCAGCTTCACTGGGTGCTGGTCATCTTTCACTTCTCAGTTCCCCATCTGTGAAATGGGAACCCCACCACCACCCAGCTGCCCTGCCCTCCCCCAAACACACACACACCCCCATGGGAATGCCGTGACGGGAAAACGAAGCTTTCAGAAAGACTGGTCACGCCAGGCACCGCAGTATCTGAAAAGCGAAGCGAGAAAACAGGGCGGTGGGAGGCCGGTCACTGCCCCCAAAGCACGAATTAAACGCCCAGGGAAGGCAACCCAGACGTGTGCCCGGCCAGAAAGCATGCCGGCCATGGCCACCTCTCCTGGGCGGGGGGCCTGCCCCCGAAGCACTGTCCTCCGCCCGGAGGCCCCGCGCCTCGCCCTGCAGTCCGGCCTCCCGGGCCCTGCAGGCCGGGTCGGAGGTCGGCAGCGGCCCGGCCAGGCCAGCCCCGCGCCGCGTCCCCAGCC